CCAGGTGTCAGAGCAGCTGGCACGTTAGCAGGAGGCCTCTGGCGGCGAGGGGTGCGGAGCCAACTGCCATCAACTGGAAAACAGCACATGGGGATGACCTGGTTTCCAGGCGATTCCTTCATGAGCCCTCTGGCAGCAGTGACAAGTGTGAGCCCAGGCTGAAGAAGCTGCCTGTGGGAAGCAAGGCCTACAACCTGGGGCGGTCCCTGTCACCAAAGACAAAGACAGACCTGTCACCTCCTGCCTGCTTTTTCCCACAGTTTTGCCAAGATTCCACTGCCAGAGACCCAGAAGTTTTCATGGGTCCGAGCATTCGTTTGGAGATGGACAGTGCAACATGTAATGTTTCTAAAAGCTTCTTTGTGTAAGTCTCTGAGGCGTTTCTGCAGCCACAGGCCCTTCAAACAGCAGATTGTGGAACCAGCACTGACAGAAAAGCTGCCCATTCTGTCCCACCCTTGGGACCACACACTCTGTCCGAGCAGGAAGAAGCTCCTTCGTGCTTTGGGGAAGTAGGAGCCACTGCCACAGGCTGCTCACTCTTTCACAGAGCAGCTGTAATCGCAGAGCTGAGCAGGTAGAAGGTCTTCTAGGGCCGGGCTTCAGGTCCCTGTCACATCTTCCTCAGAGGCCGGTCCTCGAGAGTCAGGTCTCAGGTCGCCTGGGCGTCTGACTCTTGGCTTCGGCTCAGGTCACGATCTCAGGGTCATGGAGGCCTGCTTGGGATTCTCTCTCTCCCCCTCCTTCTGCCCACCCCTCCCCACAAAAAAAGAAGAGTCGGGTCTCAACCCACACTTCTTCCTGAGTCTTTTCTCCTAAGCCGAAGGATCTACATGCAGTCATTTGTCTGACGCGGTGGTTTGGGACTCGCCACCCCTATCCCGTGACCCTAGCTTGTTCCTCTTCAGTGGACTCTCCCAACTGAATGGAGTATCCAGATGTCAGCTGGCCAGGGGAAAGGAAAAGAGCACTGTGGCCCTCCCCACGCATGTGTTCATGTTTTCCTTCATTCGACAAATACTAGCCAAGCGCCTACTATGGGCCCTGCACGTGCCAGACCGTGGAGACAAGCCACGCCTGAGGGACACAGGTGTGAGCAGGTGGAACTCAGAGTCCCGGGGCGAAGAGAGACATGAACAGGACGAGGAGGTCCCGGGGAACGGTGGAAGCTGGTAGCAGGGGGGCCTACCTCTGTGTGTGGAGTGGGGGAGCCTGCAGGCTACGATGCGAAGAAGGAGAGGGCTTCAGGTAGGTGAGGAGGGTGGCGTGCAGGGCAGGGGCACTGGCTGCTCGGAAGGTATGAGGAAGGAGGGAGCACTGGGAAGGCTGTTACGGGTCAGTATGACCAGAATCCAGTGGGAGAGGCTGCCTGTGGCCTCCAGGACACCTAGCGGGATGAGGGGACGCAGGGAGCGGATCTTGTGGGCTCATAAGCCAGGTTAAGAATGCCGGATCCTGTTCTAAGTTCAATGGGAAGCCCATGAAGGGCTTTAAACAGAGTTGTGAAGTGGTCAAAATCGCATTTTTTTATAAGATTTTATTTATTTGACAGAGAGCGAGATCACAAGTAGGCAGAGAGGCAGGCAGAGAGAGAAGGGGAAGCAGGCTCCCCGCTGAGCAGAGAGCCTGATGCGGGGCTCCATCCCAGGACCCTGAGATCATGACCCGAGCCAAAGGCAGAGGCTTAACCCACTGAGCCACCCAAGCACCCATCAAAATCGCATTTAAAGAAAAAGTTTTTGTGACCACAGTGTGGCTCGTTAACTACAAGCAGGCAAGTGTCGCGGCAGGAAGCCGGGCAGGAGGTCATCCAGTGGCGCACAAGAAAGACGTGGAGGTGGGCATTGGAGGGGGCTGTGGACCTGGTGACTGTTGCTGTGCGGGCAAGGGAGGCCGCTTCCAGGAAGCCCGCAGGACTTAAGGTTTCAGGCTGAGCGGAAGAGGGAGCGGTGTTGCTGTCCCTGAGAGCTGAGATCCAGGGGGCTGTTTGGGCAGCCAGTAGCACAGCCCGCAGTTGAGAAAACCCCTCCGTCCTCTGCACACGCGCTGCTGGGACCCAGCCACGTGTGGCTCAGAAGGAGGAAGAGAGCCCCACCACGGTCTGCTTCCCCCAACCAGCCCGCCGATCCCTCCTGACCAGTATCCGACAAAGCGCCGCCCCGCTCCCACGGAGCCTGCCACACTCACATGGTGGGTCTCCTGCCCTCTGACAGCTGCCCCCTTCCCCAGCTGCCCAACTGAAAAGAGGCTGCTAGTGTTCCCAGTTAAGAATGGCCCCGACAGAAGGCTGTAGGCCATTCTGAAGCTGGAAGGGCGGGCCCTGTTTGCAGCTTCTAGTCCTCTCTGCGGCTGAGAGAGGAAGATGCTTATGGCAATTGGCTTCAAAGCCCTGGTGTGGCCGGGCCTGTCTCGGGAGCATGCTGATTAGCGAGAATAACAACTTCTGGAATTAGACAGTGGTGATGGTTGCACAACTTCGTGAACATACTGAAAAACACCGTGCATTTTTAAGGGGGAATTTTATGGTATTTGAATTGTATCGCAATATAAATGAAGAAATAAAGAAAGAAGGAATACATTGCTATAAACGAGCACTGGGTCCAGGTTGATGATAAAGAAGAGAAGCCAAGTAACATCTTCAAAGGCTTTGGCTCCCCTTCGCGGTTTCCTGCTTGGGGACGTTCTCAGCCCAGTGCTCTTCCCTAGTAATTAACTTCAGGCCATTCGGGTTCTTAGCTGTCCTGGGGGTAGGGCAGGAAGGAAAGGTCACTGGCTTCCCTCCGCAAGGACCTTTTTCTTTTCTGATTGTGCCTGGTTTGGAAAAGCTTTGCGGCGGCGGCTCTACCCACCCCCACCCCCACCCCCACCCCCACCCCCACCCCCACCCCCACCCCCACCCCCAACCCGTGCGCTCCGGGAGAGCTCGCTCCTCCTCTGTAGTTTGGATGTCTTTGCTAACCGCAGCCTGCCCTACCTGCCTTATCTCTGCCCTCTGTCGCCTCTCCCTCCCCATCCAGATATCAGAATCTGGGCTTTGTGCCCTCTCTCTCTCTGTCTTTTCCTTTCTGCCTGCCTGGGTTCTCGTAGGTTAGGAGAAATGGGGACAACTACCTGGGCTATGGCTCAGCACTTGGTCCCAGGAGCCACTGATGGAGGGACCAGGGCGCCCCCCGGTGGCTACCAGCAGCATTGCTTCTGTCCGCCCTCCGTCCTTGAATTTTTTCCGGCTGGAATTTTAATGTTCAACTCTCCTAGTTGGGCAGATTTTTTTCTTCCCCAAGAGCTACATGAGAAACATTAAGGCCTTAAAATATAGGTGGAAAGAAAGAAAATAAGTTAGCCACATAGATTAAGAAATAAAATGTTAGTTTTTCTATTCTATATCTTTATTTTAAAAGAGGCAGTGTGAGGGGCGCCTGGGTGGCTCAGTCGTTAAGTGTCTGCCTTTGGCTCAGGTCATGATCCCAGAGTCCTGGGATGGAGCCCCATGTCCAGTACAGCTCCCGGCTCACTGGGGAGTCTGCTTCTCCCTCTGCCTCTGCCACTCCCCGCTCTCGTAGGCACACACTTGCTCTCTCTCAAATAAATAAAAATCTTCTTAAAAAAATAATAAATAAATAAAAGAAGCAGTGTGACCTAATGGAAAGTACCATGGCCTGTGGAGTAGAGCAAACTCCCCAGCTATGTGGTCTCGCCAAGCCGACTTCTCTGAGACTTAGTCCCTTCACATGTAAAATGTACGTAATTACAAGACCTACCTCATAGGAATGTTGTGGAATAAAAATTAATATAGTTAAATACCTCACACAAGGCCTGCCATGAAGTAGGTACTCAGTACGGGTCCCCTATTCCTATCATTGTCTTTACTATGACTAAAGACTAGATGGAGGAACGCTTCCTCTCTTCGGGGAGCCCCGGAAGCAGGGCCAGCCGCCTCGCACAGCTGCAGGGGCCCCTGACGTTCTCCCCTCTCTACCACCATCCCAACCCCCAGAGGTGTGCAGGGCCAGCTCTCTCTGAAGCCGATCCAGGTGCCAGTTTGGGGATCCTCTGACACAAGGCAGTGAAGGGAGATTTCAAAAAATACACGAAGACAGCAGAATAAAACAACTTTGCAAAACAGGGAAGATGAAGCCAGGAGGGCCAGTCAGAAACAGATCGGGGGCCCCGCTCCCCTTCAGGAGATAAGTTTGGCGCCCTGCCTGGCACCTGGATAGAGCCCAGTGAGTGCTAATTTCCTTCCCTTCCTATGCCCTCTTGCATGCGGCCCAGAGCAGGGTATGAACATGGCCTTGGTCTGATCATTTAGTCATAGGATGGTTTTCTTCCTAGGAGGTGGGAGGGCCTGGACAGGAACACCCAGAGGGTGGTCCGCTTGGGGGAGCAAACAGCAAGGAGCTGCATGGCTGCCACGGCGTCACAAGATGGGGTGTGTCTCTGACCCGCTCAAGTGCAGAGTGCCCAGTAGCTCTGTCCCCTCTTCCCTTGTCTGCCATTCCTGTCCCAGGACAGAGGTGCCTGAAGTTGTTTGGGCCCTTGGTAGCTTTTTAAATCTCGGTGCCACTTGCCAAGACCTCTTTAAGCTTCCTGGCTGTTCTTTTTGCCTTTCTGCTCAGCTGTATTTATTCTGAACTAAATGGTCCTCGCTGCAGGATGAAAGGATTTACTGCTTAAGTATATGAAAAGAAATCTTGGCTGCAAGGCAGCTGCACCCTCTCTTTGCTGCCCCCCTCCTCCCTCCTCGTTTTCCAGCCACTAGCTGGTGCCCCAGAGACGGAACTGGGAGCCTGCCCTGGGTCGTGGGGTCAGTGCGGTTTGGTGGCAGAGCCCCGCTGACGGACGAGTCAGGTGATGGGGAGGAGCTGGCCTTTGGGATCCCTCTCCGAATGTCTTGCTGTCCCCAAAAGACGGGAGTCCCAGAAAACAGCTCATTCACTTCCTCCCCATCCCCCCACGCCCCACACACATTCTCTCACATTTTCTCCCTCTTTCCCCCCCAGGATTGTGCTCATGGATGACGCCATGGACTGCCTGATGTCTTTTTCAGATTTCCTTTTTGCCTTCCAGATCCAGTTTTACTACTCAGGTGAGAGCCTTCCAGGGCCCCATGTGGGCTCCTGTCAGGGCCCTGTCTGCCTGTCCTACCCTGGTGTCCTTTCCGTCTGCTGCCTGGCACACACATTTATCCCCCCACTGCCTTCGGTGGCGTGCTTCACCGTGGGTCACGGACAGGATGTCTCGTCCCCACTGGTGGTCACAAGATTCGGTCTGCACAGCCGCCTCCCTCCGCCCTCTCGAGACATCGAAAGGCACGAGGCTTCCAGCCGGCAGCGGCAAAGCGGCCTAAGTGACAAAGACAGTAACTGGAACCGTGCACGCTGCGCTGACAGCACACGCCACGTCCACGGTGTGTCAGACACTCCCTGTGTGCCCGGCATAGCCCTGACTTTAGTGCTTAGGACAGCCCTAGCAGATAGGTCCTCTCAGAGACCCGCTTCGGCGTGAGGAGCCGAAGTCGCAGAGCTGGTGAGTGGGGGAGCCCGGACCTGAATGGAGGGCTCCCTCCAAAGCCAGGGCTCCCCGCTGCTCGGCGCCGGTACTGCCAGCAAAGGGCTGTCCCTCGGCCCTGGCTCACGCATGTGAGCACACATTTCCCTGCCTGCACAGCTTTTCATAAGCAGACACCAGCCCTGTCTCCCCGGCCCGTGCTGCTCCCCATACACAGCGGCTGTGTCCTCACATCCCTTCTGGAATCAGGTGTCACAGAAACAGAGGAATAAATACAAATGCACACCAGCTCCCACGGCGCCCACGGCGACATCACACGCAATGCTGGGTTCAGAGGTTGCTGCTTGTGTCCGTCAACAGACTTGTTTAAAATGGGCTCTTCAGTAAACAGAAGGCTGTCTTTGGAGCCTGGACTCCCTGCCAGCTGGTGGCCCCAGCCAGCCTTGGCCTCACTCAGGCGCCACATTCTGTTTTCTTGATGGCGGCCCAAGGGCCTGGTCCGGCAGGGGCTGGAGCCTGGGGTCTCACCACCTGCTCTTGGCAGCTGCAGCACCGATTTTCCTAGCGCTCGGGAGCTCCTGGACCCTGGAGAAGGAGCAGCCCTCTCTGGGAGAATCTTCCCCACCTGCCTTTTAAATGCTTAGTAAGTTAGCAGCTTGAGGCTTTCTCTTCCACGCTGGCCTTCCCCCACGCCTTCTTGGGGCAGAGAGGCAGGTGGCCTCACAGTGAGATGGAGCGAGTGTGCACACGTCCACCCTCTAAAAGATATTTCCAGCACTTCTCGTGTGCCCAGCACTGTGCTAGATACTGGGGCACAAAGGGGACAAAGCACAACCCCTGCCTTTGTTCAAGGATCTTCCGCTCCAGCAAGAAGGCAGAGCAAATACCCAAAAAACGAAGGAGTACAGGGTGCTTGGAAGGTAGGGAAGAGGGCATCTGCCTGGTCTAGGAGCAGCTGCCCCAAGGAGGAGACGCTGGGCCAGAAACACACAGTGGTGTCACCACTCCTAAGGGCGCTGGTCCCAGGAGGTGGAGGACTCTTGCTCCCACGCCACCATGCACGAAGCGCTGAGGCTGGTGGTGCACTGAGGAAGAGAAGGGAGGACGGGAGGACGCAGCGAAGGGACCCCGTGGCTCATCCTTGCCTGACCTGTGCCCCTCCCCCATTGCGGTACGCAGAATTCCTGGAGAGCGTGGCCGCCATCTATCAGGACCTGCTGGCGGGCAAGAACCCCAATACGGTGATTGTGCCGACGTCATCCAGCGGGCAGCACCGTCAGCGGCCCCCTTTGGGTGAGGCGAGCCTGCTGGAGGGAGTGGAGGCCTCGCTGTTCTCCCAGTGCCTGGAGAACTTGTGCGACCGGCACAAGTACAGGTGAGAGATGGGCGTGGGGGCCCCACCGCAGCCCCAGGGACTGGGCTGCGGGCTCTGGAACAGATGTTCCGACTGGTCCCCGGCTGCCGGGGCCCTGGATGGTGGCACAGTGCCATCTGCCCCAGACCAGGCTGTGGCTGGGGGAACGGCTTCCCGGGGGGCTGGTCCTTCCACACGGTGAGACGAGCTGTAGATGACCAGCCTGGCCCCTTCTCCTTGCCAGGAGAGACACTGGCCCTGACTTCTTAGAGAGAAAGGGAAAACATTCACTGTACAAAGCCTTCCCTTGACAGAAAGGGAGGGTGACACTGCTCTCTGTGGCACAAGGTCTCCTTAGAGACGGAGCAAGTTTGGGCCTCCTCCAAGAAGAGGCTGCCTCTCACTGCCTTTTCGCCATTCCCTTCCTCCCACACCCCGTCTGAAAGCCCCGGCTCGGGAGCACACCAGCCCTTTCTCTCACCAGTCCAGGCCTTGCTTCTGGACATCTGCCATGCTCCCCCAGGGGTTTAGGGCCCCTAGAGCAGACAGGGTCCCTCAGTCCTGGCTTTGGGCACACTCCTAAGCCTGAAGGGCTGGATAAAAAGATGGCAGTCGGACTTGCTGGTCTTTGAAGCTAGCCTCTGCATTCTCCATTCCAGCTGTCCACCCCCAGCGCTTGTCAAAGAGGTACTAAGCAACGTTCAGAGACTGACCTTCTACGGATTCCTTGTGGCTCTTTCAAAGCATCGTGGAATCAATCAAGCCCTAGGTAAGCCAGAGCCAGCCACCGCTAGCCTCCCCTCTCCTCGCACCCTAAGCCGCGTGGTTGCTGGCTACTATTGGCAGACATGGTCCGTGCAGGCGGGGGCGCCACCATCTCCGCCCTGACTTCTCAGGTCAGCCTCGGAAGCCTGGGGGGCCAGAACGTGCACAACAGAGACCGTGCCCTCTTAGGCCTCTCACACTCCGGTGGGAAGGGACAGCCTTCCCCACCCAAGTCCCTGCCCCAACATGAAGCAGCCTCTCGGTGGCAGGGGTGTGCCCAGCCCCTCCCCATAGAATCCCCAGCTCTGCTCTGGGGAGTGGCCTGCAGGTTGCACAGACACAGGGCTATTTACTCAGTGGCTTTGGAGATTATATATCAAAGAAACCTGAATCCCATTTGTAAGCAGAGCAAAGGTGTGTCTGAGGCGGGCTTTTTTCCTAGCTGGGGAAAAAAATGATTAATCTGAAAAGGAGCAAAAAATAGGGGGAGAAGCCTGCGCTGGCCCAGTTTTTCCTGTCTGTCATTTCTTCCTACTGGTCGGTCGGCCTTCTCTACCCACCCTGCTCTTCTCCCTCTCACACCTGCTGCTGCCCCATGGGAAGAGCCCCCTGCAGAACGGGAAGGGTTATTTGTCTTCCTCTTCCAGAGGTATCCAGGTGTGCCTGAGGCGCGTTTCCGGAGTCCCAAAGAACACATAGCCTTCCCCTTCCTTCTGCCAGTTGAGAGAAGGGGGTCAAGGGAAGGAAACTGAACATTTTTAAATGCTAACCGCAGTAGGCCAAGTTGCTGTAGGTCTTTCCTGATACAAAGCCTGCTGGGGATGCACGCAGGAGTGCAAGCCCCAGCAGGACGGACTGAGGCCCACTGAGGCACAAGGCTGCCTAGCAGCCTCCTTTTGCTGAATTGATGCTCTGGGTGTGCACAGTTCTAGGGACCCCTCAACTAAGTGATGCTGGTGGCCCAGGGCGCTGACTAGACCAGAGTAGAAAGGCCAACAGGAGTCAGAAATCAGGAGTGAGGGGGAAACGGGTGGGACTTGTTTACGTTTCCTTTCACAGTGGGGTAACTCAGCCCCCTCCCTTCCCTTCCACCAGTCAGCCCACAGGAAGGAAAAGGAAAAGCAACTAGTACAGGATCAAGCCTGGACAACCTCGTGCCCTCAATTTTTCTAGGGTTTTAAAAAGGGTGATCACTCCGTCAACCACTTTTCCTGCTGCTGGGTCGAGTGGGAGATGGGGCATCTGCCCTCCCCGCATCTCCAGTGTGAGGAAAGCGATCTGGAGATACTCGGGGCGCAGCCAGCTGTGGAGAGGGGTTGCCCTGTTCCCTCAGTCCTCAAGGCACTCACACACACAGGCACGCACGCACACAAAATGAGGCGGCTCGGGGAACGTAGTTTGAAAACCACGAACAGCAAAAGCGGGCCAGGAGGCATCATCTGAAAAAGCTTTGGAAAAGCAGGGACTTGAACTAAAGCCACATGGGTAAGTTTAAGATTGAGGCTTTCTAGAGACCAGCACTGCTAGTTGCCAGAGCGACACTCTGACCGCCCGTGAGCTTCTCCCTCAACCACCTGCGGACCTCAGCTCCATCTGCCCTCCACTGTTAACAGCTCCGGCCAGAATCCAGACCGCCCCCTCTCGCCTTTTCCCTTTAGTCTGTAGCTGAGAAAACCAGCTCAGAGAGAGCCGTGGCCGGGCAGACAGGGGCCGCTCCCGGCCTGGCGGCTCCTGGCCACACAGAAGAGTTCGGTCCGGTTCTGACCCAGCCTGCTCTTCTCGCCGCTCAGAGCCTCTGAGGAGCTGAGGCAGCATTTTTGACCATACTGTCTCTGAAGTGGGCTCCTTCTGATCTGGGGGGACACAAAACTGGCTAATTTCTGATTTGGAGGGATTAGCCGGACATACTCTGTGTCTCTGGCCCCCAGTACGTGGGGCCTCAAGGAAGGAACTGAGCCACCCGCACCAGCCTACAACCCACCACCCAGTCCTGGAAGGGGACAGCCCTGTGTGTGCAGTGACCTTGAGGTGTGGGGACGTCTCATAGCTGTGGTTCCTGCCCCAACCTGAAGAGGGTAGGCGTGGGTTGACTAAATTTATCTAGCAGTAGCCACAACTTCCTGCCCCCATAACAGTCTTCTTAAAACTTCTCTTAAGAGCTCTTTCCCTTGAACAAGTCATGGGAATAAAAGGTGCAGCATAGAGATTATCGTCAATGACATTGCAATGACGTTGTGTGGTGACCGATGGTAGCTGCCCTTGTGGTGAGCTCAGCATAACGAACGGAGATGGTGAACCCCAGAAACTACTAGACATTCCATGTCCACTGTACTCAAATTAAAAAAAGTTTTTTTAGAAAGAGCACTTCTCAGATCTTTTAGATGAGCCCTCCCAGAGTCAGCAAGGCAGGTTGACCTGAAGGTGAGGGGCCCCTGCTGGGAACTGTCTGACCTGAGCCTGCCTGAAAGACACTCAGATTACTTCTGTGCCCCCCAATTATTTCGCAGGAGCTTTGCCTGACAAAGGGGACCTGACGCACGACCCAGCCATGGATGAGGAGCTGGAACGGCTGTAAGTGTCAAGTGGGGAAGTGCTGCCCCCTTGTGGGCATGTCCCTTGGACATGGCCATGCCTTGTTCTGGGTCACACCGCGAAATGTGTGCAACACGCCCATCAGTCAGGGGTCTGGGCTCCAGCAGAGGCCTGAGGTAGCCTCTCTGAGTCCTTTGGGAATATAGCCCATGGTTTCATCCAAATGCAAGAGCGAACGTGGAGGTCCAGGTCTTTAGACAGGAGGTCCCCAGCTGCCCTCTGAGCTTCTTCCCTCCTTCAGGCTGGCCCAGATCCCAGGCCTGGTCAACTCGGCCACTGCCAACCCAGAGGCCGGCTGCCTGCCTTCCCGGACCCCTCCCCGGGTTGGCTCTCCCTGGAGGCCCCTCCATCACGCCCGCAAGGTGGAAGCAGAGAGCGATGGCTCCACTGAAGAGACGGACGAGTCTGAGACTTGAGGCGTCTGAAGGGTCCTATCCACAGCACCCGTTTCCAGCTCCCACCCCGCCCTTGGGACTCCCACCCAACCTCCTCCCCCACTCCCATGCCATGCTGCCCTCTGCTGGCGAAAAGCCTGAACAACAGCCCAAGCCCAGAGACCAGCCGAGGGGTTCCGGTATCATCAGCCGAGTCAAGCAGTGACCCTGAAAAGTAACAGTCTACTCTCCTTGGCCCCGTCAGCCTCTCCACTTTAGTCACGACCCAAGCTGACAGCAGACCGAGCGGACGCCATCAGGAAGGTGACTTTTGCTGACAGTCCCCACCACGTAAGGGTGCTCTTCTCACAGCAACATTAGGCAGGGGAGACCATGAATAACCGTGCGGGGCCTCGTATGGCCAAGGGCGACACCTGTGGTGCAAGTGTAGGGTGGACATACACATGGTGGCCTTCTGCTGGAGGAAGAGCCACTGGCATGATAGGATGAAGGGTTGGCAAGAAGACAAGTCCACTTCCAAAAACTGCTCCGAGTCCCCTCTGTGTCTAACAGTTGAACATGTTAAATGAATAAAGTCCCTTGTATCTGGTAAGTGGTGAATCTAAAGCCACTAGACTGGGGAGGAGGTGAAGGGAAGGGGCGAGTTTGCACTTTTGGTGCTGAGTCCCGGCTTTTCTGGCAGGACTGGGAGGTGGGGGCCGGGGGGCCACTCAAGCCTGGACACCAGCATCAGATAATGAGCCAAGAGGGACTCCCCTCCTGCACAGGCCAGCAACTTTTCAAAGGTGCTCTCTGCTGGAATGGGCCTTCAGAAAACAAGTTCAGGGGGTTCGCGGCCAGGCTCCCATAACTCTAAAGACCCTGGCCTCATACAGTTAGCACTGCAGAGTCTTCTAGCCAGAGTTTCATTAAAACGTTTGCTAAGCCCCTGCTCAGGGTTGGGACAATGGGGATGCCGCTGTGAATGACAGGGCTGAGGAAGACAAGCTTCCAGCCAAGACTGGAGGAAGGTAAAGACAGGTGGTCTTTAACTTCCTTGAATGGGCCAGGGGTCGTCCAGAAAGTAAAAGCCACCCAGAGACCCAAGCAGAACAGGCTGCCTCCTAGGATGGGGGTCACCACACTGGGCACACACATTTTCCTGGTCTCCTCTCTGCCCAGACCAGACCCCCGCCCCCCGACAGTTTCAGGAACTGTCTCCCCAAGGCCTGCAGAGCCAGGCCAGGACTGGAAACTCCAGTCCCACTGAAGCCCCAAGCCCTGGAAACTCTCCAGGCCCACCATCATCTCCAGCTGCCGGCTGACCGACAGCGGTATGGAGATCCTGGTGGGCATCGGAATCACCTGGGGAGCTGGTTTACGACACAAGTGACCAAGTTCTGGCATGGGGTGGCGGGGGCAGGCACAGAAATCTGGATTATCAACACTCCAGGTGATTCCAGAGCTGGAAGGCCCAGACCCGCACTTTGGAAATCGACGGCTTAAAGCCCCATGGCCCCTCTTTTCTAATCCTGTCTCCCAGATGAATGGTTTACCCCTGTACCCTGAGGACCCCTAAGGTGGCATATATATTCCAGGGGCCTCTACTGGGGGAACAGATTACCAAGCAAGGGAGTTCTACACACACATACATTCTTTTCTTCCTAGACTTAAAAAGGTTCCATTAAGGCTATAGATTTCATTTGTCTTTAAACTCCCCTGAGACACACACCCCAGTCAAGCCTCTGTTGGGGTGAGGTGCGGGGCTGCTCGGCTGCTCGCCTGCCCACAGCAGTATGGCTCACTGGAGGAGTCAAAGGGCCAACTAATACCAGCTCTTTCCTCCGCGTACAACAGGGTGGTGAGGTCGAGGCTGCACTGGACCTCGCGGCAGCACAGGGCCGAGGAGCCAGGGGCCTTTGGTTTTCAGAGAAGAGACAAGCTGGAGGCCCCGGAGAGCATGCCCTCAGCTTCGGCACCATCGCCCTACCCATGTCGGTGGGAGCCCAGAGAGTGAGCCAGGGGCCTGCACTGGGCAGGGAGGCGGGATCCAGAAAGGACACGACTTCACTCAGACCGAGAGCAGCCCAGGGCCCTGCCAAGGCTTTATTTGACACCACTCTGTTTCAATACAAACAGTCCAGAAAGAAAGTCAAGTCCCTTTGGGGGAGGGGGCAAGGGAAGAATGGTCTGTGTGGCTTAGGAGCCCATCCCCCGTCCCCCAGCAGGCAGGGTGGGCCCAAACAGGCAGCACAGCAGGGGGAGAGGGCACCAGGGATGACACAGTGCACGGCCAGGGGACAAGGCCTGCAATTCTGTCGGTGCCTCAAGCTCTCACTGGGGGGGGTGCTGTCCAGGCCCCCCTTAAGACCAGGATGATAAAGAAGAAAGCTGAGCCCCAAAAGCCTGTTTCTGTCCCTCATGTCCTCTGCTTCCTTGGCCAGCATTACGCTCACAGCATCCAGAGCAGGGCACAGGGCAGATGAGACCCAGCATGGCCACCAAGCAGGGGAAGAAGGGACAGAGGGGCCTGTGCTCCACAACGGGTGGTATGGAAGGACTCCAAGACACTCAAGAGAAGCATCCCTCAAGTGATCACTGTAAAAAGGGGTGGTGAGACAGAAGATGACCACTCGGGCCTCCAGTCTGATCCCAAGTGAGACCTTTAGGTACTGGGTAAAGTTTCTAGCCCTTAATAAGGCCCAGACAAAGGTCCTTCCCCTCTCCTGCCATCTCCTGGCAGAAGAGGCCACTGGAGCAGCAAGAGCAGCAAGTCCAGAGCCTCCCTCCCCTGGGGGCTGGTCCACAGCAGAACTCTTTCTAGACCTGCCCATGGGTTCCACAGGAGGGGGGCCAAACCCCAGACAACCTGGAAGGATCCTAGAGCTGGCAAAAAAGCCTTATACGTCTCACTTTCCCTACTTGGGGAAGGGATGGACCCAGCAGAAGCTCGCCTGAGGGAACTCCTCCCCTCCCTCCCAGTGTGGCCAGACAAGGGAGCAGCAGCTTGGTTGGGGGCGGGCAGGATCAAAGGACAGTGTCTAGCACATGGGCCAGGGGGTGTGAGGGGAGGAGAATACAGGGCTCAGTCTACAGGCAGAGGTCAAGGCTGGAACTGCCCATCCCCCCTCACCCGAGATACTCAAAAGCCACCCAACTCACACACAACACATAAAGTAACAATTCCTCCCCAGCTTCCACAAGGCAAGCACCCCTGGCCTTGGAACCATGGGGGTTTTGCTGTATTGCCACCATATGCTTGAGCCGTGGTGCCTGGATCAGTAGGAACCATAGCGATCCTGGACATGGGGGAAGAAGAAAACAAAGTCCAAGCCCCTCGCTGGCAGCAGCATCCCCCACCACTCTGGCAGGACTAGGGTACCCTGGGGAATCGGGCTCCAATCTCACTATGGCAGAGATAGTTTTATATTTTACTGTGACTCAGGGAAGGGGCTGTGGCCAGATCCCAAGGGGGAAGCCCTGCCTGATCTTGAAGCTGGGGAGGAAGGAGAAAGAAGGGGAAGGTGACAAGGCCGGAGAAGTCAGTGCAGGCACAGCATCCTCTCGGGGAGCGGCCCAGGCCCGGTACCCAGCTCAAAGGAGAGAAGCTGCCCCTCCAGGAAAAGAAAAAGCTCTTTTTCGGGCTCAGGAGCTGGCCAGCAACAGTGTCTGGAAGTGGTGAAGGCCAACCTCCCAGGACGACTCTCTACTGCTTTACCCTCCTGCCCCAGGCCAAAGAGCCCCAGCCTCACCTGCAAAGAATTCATCACACCGTTGGCCAGCACGGCCATCTTCCCGGCCACAGACTTGACACCCTGCTTAAACTGGGCAATGTCCGCAGTGGGGAGCACATTGCCCAACGATACGCTACCTGTAAAAGCAAGGGAAAGGGGGCCTTAGAGCCCTGTGGGCAGCACTTCCCAGCCCACAGGCCCTTCCAGTCCTGCTCACGGGCCAGGCCCCGTGTGCACCTTACCCCTGCAGCCCTACCTGCTCCATGAGTCCCATCCACGTCCCCGAAGAGGTCAGAAGAGCTGATGGCACTGCTTCCTGAGAGCTGCTGGAGTCGAGACCGGGCTTCGTGCTGTGGTGAGGAAAGAGGAAGGCCTAGGGAATGTTTTGGCCAAAGACTCAAAAACTCCTTATCCGCTGAGACCGCTTGGTGCTGAAGCCCAAAGTAACCGCAAGGGGGAAGCTCCCACCCCACCTGCTGCCTCCAGGCTCAGGACCGACAACTCCACTGACCTCAGCATCCACCTCCCGCCCGAAGAACATGTCCGATGAGATGGCTTTGGCTCCTGCAAATTTCTGGCGCGCTTCGCTGGACTCGAGGCCTGAGCTCCGGCTTTCCACCTCCCTTCTGTTTGTGACTCTGAGGGGCAGATGTGGGATACCTCTGATCCTTCCCATTACCATCGGAGCCCAGTCATACTAATCCCATTACTAACAGAGACCGCAAACAGTGCCAGTGGCCTCCTGCGCTGCTCACTGTGGCCCCATCTGGCTGTGGCCCTGGGACTCATGGACCCTCTCTCCTGGACGAGACCCTTCTCTTCCCCACACCGAAGCCAGGGCACAAGAGAGCTTATGGTGCCTCTGCCAGGCCGCACGGACATGCAGTTTAGAGGGGACTAGTCTTCTGCCCCAAACTTCTAGAGCGTCATCAAAGTCTAGGACGTCAATACATCACTACTGCCAGTCTCCTCCAAATGATGACTGGCCTAACACTAGGGTGACCATATGACTCTGTCCGCCTGAGTTTATACCTACTCTCCTGGCATTTTTACCCTCAAAAGCCTCCCAGTGTGGACGTAAGTGTCTGCTCACTCCCATCTCCCACCAACATGCACAGACTCTGGCCTAGGTGCTTTGTAAGTTTCGTTACATTTAATTCTTCCAGAGACCCTGTGAAGTCACTACTTATGTCCCTATTTTACAAATGATTTGTAGGCCATTCATCAGTTGAATCTTGCCCAGATTATAATAAGCTTAAAAAGGAAAAAAAAAAAAAGTAACATGGTGACCGGAGACCCATAAATCCGGGTGGTCAGGATTAAAGCGTAAAATCAGGACCCTCACACCAGAGAAACAGACCCTGAACTAAAGAAGCTGCTAAGCCTTCTGTGATGACAAAGCACAGCTCAAACCAAAGCCTGATTCCCGCACCACCTGACAGCCACCAGCCACAAGTGGCTAAACTTACTAATATTAAATTAAAAACCCAGCTCCTCAGCTGCACCAGCCATGCGTAAAGAGCTCAGGAGCCTCCCCCACCCCGCCGCCCAGCAGAGAGCAGGTACACAGAACATTCCCGTCCCAGGAAAATCCTGCTGGACAGTGCTGCCCTAGCCCACTCCACCTTTCTGAAATAGGCCGGATGCTTGAGATGGTCACTTCTGGCTCCTTCTCCTCCATCCGGTCCATACCCCAGGCGGCATCTGTATCCCACCGGGAACTGAAACTTTCCCCCAAGGAGAAGGGGTTGTCCTTGTACCTGGTGAGACAGAAGAGCGGCTTAGAAAAGCTTGATGAGGAACATGGTGGCCAAGTCTGCACCCCAACAACAGCCTTACTTCGGGGGTCCAGAGGCGAAAGTACCAACATCATCAAACAAGTCGAGCTGCGAGCGGGAGGATTTTGCACTCACGGGCGTTTCCTGCTCGATCACCTGCATCTCAGACAGCACCGAGTGAGAGACGGAGCTGTGGGGACAAGCAGAGCCGCCCAAGAGCAGCTGTGAGCAGCGGTGTCACCGCCGGAGAGTCCTCTCCCCAGGCCTGCGCCCCGGGCTGGGCCAGACCCCGCAGGGAGCGCTCGGGGCCCCGCGCAGCCAGAGGACAGCCTCGACTGTCTGCACATCAGCTGTTCTCTCAAAGCAGGCCTTCCCTGGCAAAGGACTGTTCGTCTGCCTCTTTCATGACGTGCACCAAACAGTAGCGCTCTCAGTCCTTACAAACAACTCAACAGACTTGCTGCACCGTGGGCCACATCCTTTGCCAAGATTGACATGTCCACACGGAAAAGATGCACAAATGCCCCAGAAACAGGAAACGGAGTCTAATGGAATCAAAGGCGAATTCTAGACTTTCGATCTCACTTAAAAACAGAATACTGGACAGCAATCCTGGCAATAGTGGGCTTGTGAGCTCCGCCAGTGGTCTGATTTACTGAAGTGCGGCAGCGCCGTGCAGAAGGTATTACTATGTCTTTCTACAGGTGAGAAAATGGACTCCAAGCAGCTCAGCAATTTGCCTAAAGCCCACACATCTCATAACTGGCACAACTAGATGCTGAACACAGAACTATTGATTCCAAATTCAGTATTTGTGCCTTTATCCTCTACTTCTCTGAAAGAAGATAAGGCTGGCTATTTCTGCTTAATCTTTTCAGAGCACGTGCCAGCTGGATTTAAGTAACTCCACTTCGTTCCATGTGCTGCTTGTATAACACACAGCTCATCAGGGAAACATCACATTTTAAGCCCAGAAAGGACTTTAGGTCTCTTTTTTTGCAATGCAATAGAATCTTTAACTTAAATCCAGACTACCCTACTTAAAACCCCACTGTACAACATTCATCTTCAGGGTTCTGCCAGCTGAAAACTGTAGATATTTTGTAATGAGTTTAAGTGAAATTAATCCTTAAGATGCCTCTGTGGAGGAAGACACAGGAGGAGAGCAAGGCACCAAGAATTAGCGCCACTCGCCCAACGCTGCCTCTTCACTGGGAGACCGGACAGCAGCCCCAGGGCCTGGTGCTATCCAACATTCTGGCTTTTAAGAGAGTTCAAAAGTCTAGCGCCACTGAAATCTCCAGATGCAAGCTCTTAGTGCAGAGCAAACAAAATGGGTGAGAGAACTGGTTTGCAGTCCTTGTTTTGTTTTTAAGAAAACCACAGCAACATAAGCCCAGTGGTCCTGAAACAGGAAGGATACTGTTGACGCAAAGAGCGTTTGTCTAGGGCATTCCTCGGCATTACCGTGCCTGGCGGCAAGGGTGTTTAGTGGACAAGGATTAGGGATGCTAAGAGCCTTGCAATTCTCAGGGAAGTCTTAAAAAATAAAGTCTTAAAAACTCTTAAAAAATAAGGAAACATCCCACCAAAGTGCTGTCAGTACCCCATTAAGCAACATCACCCTACCCTCTTGGGAATATCGAAAAAGCACCCAATCCTATTTCTTTCATTTGGCAAACACAATGAGCACAGACCTACTCGGTGACAAGCACTATACTAGTTACTTGAAGACAATCAGCAAAGCCATCTATCTGTTCAGCCTCGGGAGAAGACTGAGCCTGCTGGGAAGAATTCGCAGTGGCTCCCAGGAGAACCGTGACATTTCCCTGCCACACCCCAGAGCTAAGCCTCACCTGCGGGACACCAAGCCCATGCCCAACCTCTCTGCCTGTTCTCGCTTCTTCCCTTCCAGATTCTGTAGCTTCTTCTCCTCCTTCTTACGGTCAATTTGGAGCTCCTGGTAGGCCAGGCGCATAGAGGCAACCCTTGGAAGGAATAAACGTGTCAGAGGCCAGCTCACATCCTGACCGTCCCACCACCCACCCAATCCCCATGAGCTGGGGCCGCTCGGGGAGCGCTCACATGGACTCCTCGGCCTGCTTCTTGGCATCAGCCACCTGCTGCTCACGGAGCTTCTCCGCCACCTGGGCCTGCCGCTCGATCTCACTGAAGCTCTGGCTGCTCACCTTCTGGGCCCCCAGGCCTTTCTTGGCACCCAGCTGGGAGGAGAATGATGGGATGGAGGCCTTGCCAACAACCACAACTCTTCTGCTCCCTCCCAAGCATGGGTCCTCTAGCCATACCACCAAAGGAAGCATTCCTTAACAATTAGGGTAAAAAAACAGGGAGCCCAGCCAGCATGCTCAAGAAGGAGAACAGTGGCTCTGCTGGAGTTGGGCACAAGGTGGCTCTCCCCGTGCACAGCAGAGGCCTCAGGGCCTGCGAACAGCAGGTAATGCTGACCAGGACCGGTCTGTGCCAGGCCCCTGATGCACACAATCGCACTGACTCTTCCCTGGGCCCCCTTAAAGAGAAGCATCTGGACAGCGCTTTCGTAGTCAGGGTTCAGAAAAGTACCTCTGCCAAAGTCACACAGCCAATGAGCGGCAGGGTCAGGGGTGCATCCAGGCCATCTAGCACTAGCTCCTAACCACCATCACGCTGCCTCTCTCCACCTACCCCTTTCTTAGCTCCTGCTGGCTTCTTCTTGCCAATGAGGGAGGTTCTCGGTTCTGTGTGAGCAAGAAGATGGGGCATGAGTGAAGACAAAGGGAGGTCAGAGGCAGCGGCTCAGTCCATACTGTGCAGCTTCTTGGCAAGAGCTTCTACAAAGAACTGCTTCGGGCAGAGGAAGGCAAGGCTGCCACCCACCAGTCCCAATGGATGGCATTGGCAGAGTCCAAGCCAAGGACAGACAGACAAGGTTAGGCGAGGCTCCCGACTCCCAGCAGACTGAGATAAGAACCTAGACCCAAAGCACCAGAGACTGTCACAGTCCCTGAACCAACACGAAGACTACTAGGCAGGGTTAGGCAGGCTGGTTAAATACCAGCTTCAGCTCCTACAGCAGGGAGCTGACATGCAAGGGGCTGCGCTCCCCAAGCAGCTGTTGGTTACCTCTGGCAGGAAGGGCCCCTTTAGGTGACAGACACATGGACTCTAGAGAGAAAGACTTATGACTAACAAGGGGTCCACCCCAGAGCCTCCATATAGCTCCTGAGCCCAGAGGCCAAAGTTATCCGCAGAGGCCTCTTAAGAGCCTCACTTCAGACCAAACCATGCCAGCCTTCGCATGGGCTCAGTTTTAGTCATTTGCTAGCCTCCTGCCCCAACCCCCAGAGGTCAACAGACACAAGGTCAGCAAACACTGTTCTTATGCTGAGCCAAAACTAAAGAACACTAAGGAAAGTAAAAAAAGAACCAAAACGCCAGAGACAGGCTGAGAAAGGACAGTGTTGCCTCCAGGTGTGAGAGCTGCATGCCCGTCCCATGAAACGGACCAGACAGGCCAATCTGCCCTCACACTCAAGGGTTAGGTGTCCAGTCTCATACTGGCCTCCCCACACTTTGGCTAGACCCAGCCCCACATTTGGAGGCAGACCCCAGGCCTTGTCCACCAGCTACCCGCTTTATCAATTCAAAGTCCTTGTAGCTAATGCTGCAACCACAAACCCAATCCCAGTCCCCACTCCAGAGAGATCAGATGCTCAATCTCATGACCTCAGTCCACATGACCAGGCAAGAGCAAACCTGAAAAGAGTCCTGGAGGCCCACCCTCTCCCAGTCACCCCGCACCTGCCAGGCGGCATACTGACCCAGAGAGGCTTTGGGTGAGGTGCCAAGCAGGTCCATGTTGGGGCCGTGTTCCGGCTCTGTGGATGCAATGGCGGGAGTTAGGTGTTAAGGCACAAAGCTTGCGGTGACTTCCCCTTACAGGAGGTGACGGGGATGAGTAGGGAATGCCCACTACGTCCTCCAAGAGACTGAAAAGAATCTTAACCCACCAAGAAACACAGGAACCCCCCCCCACACACACACACATTCCAATCCTCTTGGTCCGATGTCCCTTTCCTAGGCCCAAGTCCTCTGCCAACACCAGGGCACCTCGTTGAAATCTGGACTGAACTCACGTGCCAGGCTACTGATCTCTGCAGAAGGGGCTAGCTGCTGCGTCTCTGTTAGGTCTGGGGCTGGTACTTTCCAAGCAGGGGGCTGGAAAACAAGCCAGATCACAGAAGCTTGAACGAGCCACTCCTCCTGGCAAGAAGTGCCAAGAACCCATAGGTACCTTGTGGGGATGAGGCTCTCCTCAAGCCCATACGAAAAGAAGACTGGAGGCCAGTGAGTAAAAGCATAGCTGCTACTGCCAATGGAAGAAAGAAACCAGAAATTCACAGCTCCCTCCAGCCTCCAGGACTCACTGAGAGCCAGAGCTCACTGCCCTAATTTCACAACAACTAACAACTATTAGGCACTTACCACCTGCCAAGCACGAGTCTAAAGGCCTTTCACATATAAATACACTTAATGATGAGGACAAACCTATGCAGTAGATAGAGCTCTTTTAGAGTCGCAGGTTTTGGGGTTAAATGACTTAGCCACCATCCTAGAAATGCTAAGGAGAGGAGCAGGAATTCAAACTAAGAATCTGAATTCAGCACCCAATGCCAGTAGACAGGAAACCCCCAGCCACAGGTGGGCTGCTGGGAGGGAATCCTTTCATTGTCCCCAACCACAGTAACTTCCTTATGGGGGAAGAACCCAGGAAAAGTTGTCTGGAGCTCCTGACACCTCCTGAGCTCTCAAAAAGCTTCTCTTCCTCCCTACTATCCCAATTTATAGGCGTCCATTCCTAAGGATGGGCACAGTGCACACCTACTTATAGGAGGAGGAAACGTCTGGGTCTACCCAGCAGTGGGCCGCAGACACTCCCAGCTGAGGTCTCATACCAAGGTGAGCGGACTCCATGCCACATGATCACAGAAGGCCTTGGGCTGGTAAGTAAGCCACCTGCCAGCAACAACCATGTGTAAGATTCCTTGTGGGCACTCACTTGAGAGTGTTCCATGAAGAAATCAGAGTCCTTCTTCTCTGGGGAGTGACTGGCAGCACTATTCATATTGTCTATCCAAAGCTAGAAGGAAGAGGACAGCCTTGAAACACAGGGCCCTGAATATTCCCACTCACCCCACTACCCTCGCCCCGGGGAACAGGCACTTACATCAGTGCCATGCCTCGCCAGGGCTGCACTCCCCAGCTGCCGGATCTTTTCCCGGTACATCTGGGCAGCTCGGCTATTATATTTGGTGTTGGCGTCACTGGCTGTACATCCATGTTGGCGGAAGAAAGCTGTCTGAAGAGCAAGGAAGAGAGGAGAGCATGCTACAGGTGATTCCCCAGAGCAAAAGAGGCACCCCTTGTAACAGTGGCTTAATATTTACATATGATAAAATACACCCTACTGACACCAGCAGTTCTTCACAGAGGCTAAGATCCCCAGCAATGCCCGTGAAAAAACAGCCTCCCATTCTGAGAGCACACTGCACCTCAGCCCTCACTCAGCCCTGCCAGCAGACAGCATGCCATCCCCACCGCGCCCACCCTTCATCCAGGCTCACGAGATCTGGATGACTGTGGAGGCCCCAACTACTCATTTAGCCTCTCCCCAAGAACATCTGTCCAGTTTAGTTTGAATCCGAAGCCCAGTTGAGAAAAACCAATTTCCAGGTTTAGAGAATAGTGTACAGTGTTGCTACAAACCAGAAAATCTTCTGAAAAGAGATCATGACAGGGCCTCCTAGGAAGACCCTGTAAAGTGAGAACCCAAGCAGAAGAATGGGGGTGGGGAGGATGGTAAGAAGGAGCTTTACCGCATTGGCATTTCCGCCGACCTGCATACACCTCAGCTGGAACCAGTTCCAGTTGGAATCCAACTCTGTGGACCTGCGTGCAAGGGCTGCATGTCACCCACCAGGAGATACCAGGAGACGCTTCCTGGCAGACACCTACCTGTCATCTGGCCTCGGGCTGCAGTAGGCGCCCAGAAAACATTAATCAGCCACCACCCTATTTCCTCCACTTTACCTGGTCCATGAAAGGTTTGCTCTTCAATTATCTAGTCAAAAGAGTAGTAATTATCGTCCAGATCCGAAAGGAGATCGAATTGTCAAGCGCTCAAGCTTGGATTTGGCTTTCCCCTTAAGGACGTTCATAGTTCATGGTCTTGCTCCAGACATACTCGACCAAACTGATCAGCAACAAGATCAATGCAGCTAACTTTTCCCTGAAACTAATACTCGGAGTGTCAAGTTTAACCAACAGGAAAGAAGGAAATTTTAACCTATACGCGGACACAAGCCGCCTATGTGGCAAGGGGCCCACCCAGGCGGCTCCCTCCCGTGGGCAGCCACTGGACCACTCCCTGGCCAAGCGGTCCAATCGAGGCAGCGACTCTCCCTTACTAAGCCCACAGCCCTGGCCGGCCAGGTAAGCACAGCAGCCGCAAGAAGACCCCACCTGATGAAGCTGAGATGGACGCCCAGGGAGCGGTGCACCCCGGAACAGTCAATGCACAAGAAAACACCATACGTGATGCTGGCCCAACTCGGGTTCTTGGCGCCACAGTCGAAGCAGGCCTGGGTGGAGGAGGGGATGAGCCAATGGTTAGGGGCCCCGAGTCGAGGCCGGACGCAGACACGCCAGGTAAACAGCCCACGTCCGCCCCTCTCCCTCCCTCAAGCCCCAGGGGAGACAGGAGAATCCCTCTCCGCTAGCGCCGGACCCCACGCGCCTTCCGCTCGCGCACCTTGTTGGTCGGAATTCCGCGAAGCCGCTTGAAAAGAGTCTGGATTTCTGTCTTGCTCGGTTCCGCCGCCATTTTCTCTCCTTCCCAGACACCAGCGCGACCGACGGGTGCTGTCGCGGGCCAATCCTCAGCGGGGAAGGCGGGGCACCGAGGGGGCGCCCACAGCGCCCTCGCCAGCCGGGGGTGGGGCGATCTGTCCAGATCTGGACCAATGAGCAGCGGTAGAACCGGAGCGGAGCCGGCGGCCGCCGCCGACTCTACAATGGTCGCGGGACCCACGCCGCGCCACGCCACGCCGGGGCCAATCCGCAGCCAGGGCGGAGCGACGGCTCGCCGGCGGACCCAAACCTCGTGCGACCGCCACCACACTCCCTGCCACCCCCGGCAGGTGGCGCGACCTCCCAGAAGGCGAAGGCTGCAACGCTGGGGCCAGGTGGCCAGGGGCCACGGCTGGGGCCAGTTCCCGATGCATGAGTAATGATTAACAGTTCTACCCTGCACTCAGGATCTCACCGGCCTGAACGGGAAGACAAACAGGCTGGGCCTCCGTCCAGCCCAGAACTCAGTACCCAGCCTCCAACCTTGGCGGGCTCACTCCAGGCCCAACCTTGAGTACCTCCCACCCCAGATTAAGGTCCCCAGAGCAGATACCAGCCAGAGCAGATACCAAGCTGGCAAACCTTTGCCCATGACATACCCTAGGCCCACAGAGCTCCCCGCTCTGGAGTGCCTCTCTCCAGATGCTCTCCGCAGCCTGACAAGGGTGGACTATCAAAAAAGATGCACACAAGCCTGACGGTGTTGGTTTTTTTCTCCAAGTTTAATACACACTAGAACAAACCACAAGAGAGTGCCGCTAGCCCAGAACTACACTCACCCCAAGACCACCCCAGGAACCCAAAAACACTGGGTCCACAGCACCTGGGGAGACCCACCCATTCCTGGAGAGGCCCGGGCACCCCTGAGCCCTTCTGTCACCTCCTGACCTCCCCCATCTTCCCCTCAGCCTAGACTCAGTTGGCCTTTCCCTACCAGTCCCTTTCTAGATGCAGGCCGCTCCCCACCCTGGGCCCCAGAACTTCCTCCTTCCTCAATGGACAGAAGGGCAGCAAGGGGCACCATGGTCCAGGGCCTTCAGGTCCAGCTGTCCAAGAGAAGCAGGGCCCTGATGCAGGGTGGAGAAACGCTGCAGAAGGGCTGTCACGGAGGTCAGGCCCCCACACACTCCACGTAATTGGCCGGGTACAGACCAATGCGGCCGCTCTGCAGCTGGCCCTGGCACCAGCCCTGCTCATCCTCCTCGCTCATCTTCAGCAGCTCCTCCCCTGGGGAAAGGGGTTTCGTCACTGCCCATTGCCCTGGCCCAGCCCCAATGGTGCAACTGGGTCAAGGACTGAGGAGGGGGAGGGGGTAGTAGGAGAAGGCAACTAGGAGAAGAGACATGCCTGAGGCGAAGAAAGGTCCAAGTCAGCAAGCACCCCACCCCAGACCCTGAATGCATCAAGCAGGCCCCAGCCGGTGACTTTGAGAGAGCAGTGAGGGCTCAGAGCAGACACTCTGACGCCTGGAGTCTGGACACAGAGCAGCCTTGCAGAATCAGACAACTGGACTTGGGAAGCAGGCATCAGGCTTCCCTTTTCCACACCCCTGCTCAGCTTGTAAAGGAGGGGAGAGGGTGGCTGAAGCCTGGAAAGGAACAGGAAAGGGGTCCCCGCGTACCTGCTCGGAAGCTCAGCTCATCAGCTTCCTGGCCAGCGTAGTCATAGAGCGCCCGCACCCGCACCCCGGTGGCAGCCTTCCGGGGGTTCTCCTCATCCGACCACTCCTCATCCTGCCCACCGCTACAGAGGGGAGACAGACAGTGGCAGGCTCAGGGCACAAGGACCACCATGAGCCAGAGAGTCTACGACCCAGGGCAAAGGGTCCCCCTCTGGAAGAACCCTGGGAGAGGCAGGTGGAAAAGAACTTAAAGATCCTGGTCTGACCTCTGCCACATGTGCCTGTGAGCCTGGCACGCTTCCCGCCACCCAGGGTTGACATGAGCACTAGATGAGCACGAATGCAGGCACCGGCGGGTGAGGCTAAGCCACCATGAACACTGGCATCACGACAACTACTAAGCAGGTCCTGAGGTTCCTGGCACCAATTTTCGACCCAGTTCAGGTGTAAGGGGAATGAAGGGAAGGAGACAGAGGGCAAGAGGGCAGGACAGGGCCCGAGCTCTTTCCTCCCCACAGCCAGGTTCCTGGCTCTCACCCTGGGGACCCCGGGGACTGGGGTGGGGGTGCAGCGCCATCTCTTGTGGGCACGATGCTGGTCAGAGTAACCTCATCAGGGCTCCGGCCACCCTTTTCCTTCCTGCTAATTGTCCTCTGTGTATCCAAGGACCACTCCTGTGGGGACAGTGCTGAGGGTCAGGCTGGGCTGCAGGCTGTGGTGGCAGCCAGAGCCATTCAGACCTTCACCTACCTCCTCCCAAGCCCTAGCCTCCCTCCTGAGGTCCAGGCTGAGCCCACCGCCCCTCCCAGCCCCGGGCAGCCCGGAACGCTGACCTCGAACTGCGGCCAGTTCATGGCCATGCCCGGCCCGTGGGTGCTGCGCCACCAGTGCAAATCCTCCTCGTCGCTGACTGCCTCGATGCCCTGATGCAGGTCTCGGTGGAGTTCATGGAACCTGCGGCCCAAGGCACCACCTCAACTTGGGGAGCCCGGGGCCCCGGTACCCCCATGAAACTCATTCTGCCTGGCCAGAGCCGGGGGGAGACAGAGCAGACCCAGCTGTACCCCCAGACCTCCAGGCCTCCCTCGCAGGCCACACCTCTCGCTGCTGGAGAGGTCGAGGTGCTGGTGCAAGGCGAGCAGCATATCCTTGAAGAAGAGAAGCCGCTGGCGCTCGGCCGCCTGGCAGCTCTCAAAGGCCTGCTCCATGTCCTCCATGTAGCGTGGGGTGTAGCTATGCAGCTCCACCAGTGTCTGCTCGTAGTGGCTCTTCATCTGCGTGGGGCAGGAGGGGCCTGGTGAGGACCAGACCTGCTTCCACTCAGGACACCACTCACATTTACAGAGCGCCGCCGGGGGGCGAGACCCTGGGCCTGGCACCAGCAGCCATTAGGCCGCAGATCCAGGTCCGACCCTCCAAGACCCCAGCAGCGGAACAGGCCAGGGGACACCTGGGCACAGCCACTTTAAGGGTCTGGGGAGTGAGGATGGAGGGTGAGATGAGGTCCACCTCGAGGAGCGAGGAGCGGGGAGAAATCAGAACAGGCTTCATGGAGGAGGTGGAAACTGAGCAGAGGACAGGCAGAGCGGGAGGACAGGGTGCTCTAGCAGGGCAGGCAACGTGAGAGCTTATGGTTGGGGGCGGGCACAGCGGAAGAAACAGAGCTGGAAGGTCTCCTCAACTCTGAGACCCTCCCAACGCCTGAAACGGAACCATTTCTTTCCCGGGGAAAGCATCAGCTTTTCTCTGGCTCCTCTTTTAAATGAGGGTCTGGAGAGCAGGTGGCCCATGAGGATGAGGGCGGCAGGGCGTGGGGCCAGGGAGAGAGAGGTCTCCCGCTACCTTCTCGGCCTCCCTGGCGCAGCGTTCCACCCGCTCCTGCAGTTTGCGCAGCTGCTCCTGCGACACTGCACTGTCGGCCTTCGCGTGGCTCTCCCGAGTCTGCGCCGTCTTCTCCTCCTTCCGTGCTGCATGGTAGCTCTTCTTGGAAGCCTCAACCTGGCGCGCACGGCGACAAATGTGGACCCGAGCCCCGCGGCCCCCCCAGCCCAGGTGGGATTCAGGAAGGGACCCATCCCTCCCCGGCTCACCTCCTTCAGCCTCTTGAGCCAGGGCTTCTGGGCCTTGCGGAAGCCGTCCTCGGCAGCCCGGCTCTCTCGGAAGCCCCCCAGCACAGGCCGGTGGAAGGCCCCCCGCTGCCAGGCGCGCACCCGCTCGCTGTCCTGGCCCTGCAGCTTCTCCCGCACCTCCAGGTGTAGCGCGCTCAGCCTCTCGGCCGCGGTGAAGAAGGCGTGCCAGGCCTTCTCCAGCGTGCCGTACTGGGGGCCTGCGGGGAGGGAGGGAGGGCTGGGACCGGGCCAGGGACACAGCCAGAAAAGAGCCAGCCCCCCACACCCCAGGGTGCTGCCGTGGGGGCCAGGCCCGGAGGGCGGGATGCGAAGAGGAACAAGGAAGAGGTCCGCGGCTACTTGTGGATATAGGAGATTTTGTGGAATCCTTATCCACCACCATGGAAACTGTTACAATCAACATTTAACAGGCAAAAAGCAGCCCAGAAAAGTGAAGCTAATACCCAAAGCATTACAGCTGCAAGTTAATGGCCCAAAACATTACAGCTGAGATGCAAACCCAACTCTGTGGCATCAACCACTACACTCGATTGCCTCAGAGGGAAGAAAGAGCTTGGTTAGGATGGAAAGATCCCCAGCTCCCGAGTGGAAGGCCTAGGTTCAAGTTTCAGCGCTTCCTAGCTGTGTGACCTCAGGCAAATCACTTAACCTCTCTGAACTTCTGGATTCTCCTCTAGAAAATGGGTAGTACAAGATCATCTCCACCACCGGGCTGTTAGAAGTATCAAAATAACTCACGACCATACTTCGCAAACTCTTAACAGCTAGGTTATTCTTAACAACTGCAAGAGTAATCAGGAAGCTCTTCCCTCTTCAGCGGGAAGGCATACACGAAATCCTCAAATTTTCCATAAAAGGTGCAAGAAAGAAGCTCCCTCGCCGGGTCTCCCACACCCTCAGCGGCCCTCTGCCCCTGGTGAGGCCCAAGTGCCGGCTCACCCTTTTCCACGGCGCCCCTCCACTTGCGGGCCCAGTCAGCCAGCTGCTGAGCATACGCCTTCTCGATGCGGGCACGCTCCTGGAAGCAGCTGACCAAGTCCCCGCATAGCCGATGCCCGTCCTCCACCCGCTGCACGGTCCGCCTATAGTTGCCAGCCTGGGGCGGACAGGAGAAAGGCAGTGTCGCTGGGGAGAAGACCCCTCCAGGGCTGGCGCCGACAGCTGGGCTCCTCCCCTGGACAGGTGGCTGGGCCCAGGTTGGCAGAGGGGGTGGGCATTTCGGTGCCACCTCCAATCCTAGGACCCAGCTGCTCACCTCCCAGAAACTGC